CCCAGTGTTCGCAAGTATAGACCCAGTGTTCGCAAGTATAGACCCAGTGTTCGCAAGTATAGACCCAGTGTTCGCAAGTATAGACCGGGGTTCGCAAGTATAGACCGGGGTTCGCAAGTATAGACGGGGTTCGCAAGTACAGACCAGGGTTCGCAAGTATAGACCAGGGTTCACAAGTACAGACCAGGGTTCACAAGTACAGACAAGGGTTCACAAGTACAGACCAGGGTTCACAAGTACAGACCAGGGTTCACAAGTACAGACCAGGGTTCACAAGTACAGACCAGGGTCACAAGTACAGACCAGGGTTCACAAGTACAGACCAGGGTTCACAAGTACAGACCAGGGTTCACAAGTACAGGACCAGGGTTCACAAGTACAGACCAGGGTTCACAAGTACAGACCAGGGTTCACAAGTACAAACCAGGGTTCACAAGTACAAACCAGGGTTCACAAGTACAAACCAGGGTTCACAAGTACAGACCAGAGTTCACAAGTATAGACCAGAGTTCACAAGTATAGACCAGAGTTCACAAGTATAGACCAGAGTTCACAAGTATAGACCACGGGGTATAAGCAGAGAACAGGTGGCGGCCATTCGAGCAAGATATTCGAGTTAGGATGAACAGAGTACAAATCATTCAAGAGAAAAGTAAAAGGGAAGCCTAAAGTTATGTTAAATATGCTTAGCAAATAGATCAATAATTAGTATATTACATACATATATATATATATATTTAATATAAAATATTTTAATACTTATATTGTTTGCACAAACAAATGTTTTAATATCCAAAGTGCTGTATCCGCAGTCTTCACAATGGAGCCACTCAGTTGCTGTTCACTTCACATTGTCTTCATTTATCAGAACTGACGTTTGACATTCTTTTATTATACCTATAACAATAAAATAGTTTTAAATATTTATGTAATTTAAGTAACATATTTTATGAGTAAAGAATTAATGGAAATTAAAACAACAAATTGAACTATTATAATTATAATGTATTTATTTAATAATTAGATGAATATATTGTAAGTATTTAAGTCATCCTTTGAGTCATTGAACGCACGAATGAATTCCTAATGCTAATGCTAACACATAAGCATGTATTATCTGGTGTAGGGACACCGTTAAGTTAATGTTTGTGGCAGCAAGATAAGGTCCAATGCAGGCAGGTGTGTGAGCATCCTGATGCGGTCATTGTTTGCCCTGTAAACAAAAGCACCCAATTAAAAGTAATTCAGACTACTTTATAATACATTGTAAAAAGTAACTCACCAAGAGTTTTTCTGAGCAGTTTTACTAAGTCTTCCTAAGTGAACAGCAACATGCTAAATTTATAAGAGTTAGTATTCCAACTTAAGCACGAAGACGATTGCCAATTGATCCTTTGTAAGAGCTTATTGTTTGATTAATTAGAGTCGATGGAATCGGTTGGGTCGACAAGGGCAGGCGGTTCAGTGGTGGAGAATTGAATCTGAAAGAGAAAGCAAAAGGTTAGAATACATTATGATTATTACTATTATATAAACATTATTATTAATATTAATTATCATTATCACAGATTATATGATTCATGGACAAAGTGAAGTTACTGACAATGGTGGGCTTCAATTGTCACGACAAGACATGGGAAAACGAGGACTGTAGTAGTCATCCAAATAAAGGGGGCACCATGATATCAATGATCAACAAGAAAGATCATCAAGATACAACAAGCAATCACATTCACACATTCAAATATGCATTGGAGGACAAGACCTTGGGAATTGCACAAAGCAACCAATACGCGGTGGCAAACATTATGGACATTAAAATAAGGCTCTAGACAGAACAAGCAAACCGTAGAGGCAAAAATGCAGGGCATTCGATAAGGCATTGGAGAACCAGACCACCAAGTCGAGGAGGCAAACCTTCCGGGTATTTAATAAGGCATTGGAAGACAAAGACGAGGAGACAAAATCTGGCAATTGGACAAAGCAACCAAGACGGGAGGCAAACATAATGGGCAATAAAATAAGGCTCTAGACAAAGCAACCAAGATGGGGAGGCAAGCATTCTCGGCATTGGTCAAGGCAACAAAATCGGGGAGGCAAAAATCCTGGGCGTTCAAAGGCGCAAACAAGGCAATCGAGACTCTCTTCACAATGAAGTCCATTGATGTCGGTCACTTCACATTGTTTTGCACGGTCGCATGAACTTATACGCATTCTTGAAGCTTCTCAAGAGGTCGATGTCGTGTCTATTCGGTGCGTTGATGGTGGAATTGGAAGAATCTAAAAAAAAAATACATGTTAGCGAAGCAGACATTATTGTTGTTATAGACTGATACATACTGTATTATTATAGAGAGAAGTCCCTAATGAAGAGGTCGATGTGGTGTCTATTCGGTGTGTTGATGGTGAAATTGAAAGAATCTAAAAAAAGAATACATGTTAGCAATGCAGACACTGTTGTTGCAGACAGATACATACTGTATTATTAGAGAGAAAAGTCCCTGACAAAGAGGTCGATGTGGTGTCTCTTCAGTGCGTTGATGGTGGAATTGGAAGAATCTGAAAAAAGAATACATGTTAGCAATGCAGACATTGTTGTTGCAGACAGATACATACTGTATTATTAGAGAGAAAAGTCCCTGACAAAGAGGTCGATGTGGTGTCTCTTCAGTGCGTTGATGGTGGAATTGGAAGAATCTGAAAAAAAATACATGTTAGCGAAGCAGACATTGTTGTTATAGACAGATACATACTGTATTATTACAGAGAGAAGTCACTGATGAAGAGGTCGATGTGGTGTAAATTCGGTGCGTTGATGGTGGAATTGGAAGAATCTGAAAAAAGAATACATGTTAGCAATGCAGACATTGTTGTAATAGACAGATACATACTGTATTATTGGAGAGTAAAGTCCCTGACAAAGAGGTCGATGTGGTGTCTCTTCAGTGCGTTGATGGTGGAATTGGAAGAATCTGAAAAAAGAATACATGTTAGCAATGCAGACATTGTTGTTGCAGACAGATACATACTGTATTATTAGAGAGAGAAGTCACTGATGAAGAGGTCGATGTGGTGTAAATTCGGTGCGTTGATGGTGGAATTGGAAGAATCTGAAAAAAAATACATGTTAGCAATGCAGACATTATTATTGTTATAGACAGATACATACTGTATTATTATAGAGAGAAGTCCCTAATGAAGAGGTCGATGTGGTGTCTATTCGGTGCGTTGATGGTGGAATTGGAAGAATCTGAAAAAAGAATACATGTTAGCAATGCAGACATTGTTGTTGCAGACAGATACATACTGTATTATTAGAGAGAGAAGTCACTGATGAAGAGGTCGATGTGGTGTAAATTCGGTGCGTTGATGGTGGAATTGGAAGAATCTGAAAAAAGAATACATGTTAGCAATGCAGACATTGTTGCAGACAGATACATACTGTATTATTAGAGAGAGAAGTCACTGATGAAGAGGTCGATGTGGTGTAAATTCGGTGCGTTGATGGTAGAATTGGAAGAATCTGAAAAAAAAAATACATGTTAGCAATGCAGACATTATTATTGTTATAGACAGATACATACTGTATTATTATAGAGAGAAGTCCCTGACAAAGAGGTCGATGTGGTGTCTATTCGGTGCGTTGATGGTGGAATTGGAAGAATCTGAAAAAAGAATACATGTTAGCAATTCAGACATTGTTGTTGCAGACATACTGCATTATTAGAGAGAAAAGTCCCTGACAAAGAGGTCGATGTGGTGTCTATTCAGTGCGTTGATCGTGGAATTGGAAGAATCTGAAAAAAATACATGTTAGCGAAGCAGACATTATTATTGTTATAGACAGATACATACTGTATCATAATAGAGAGAAGTCCCTAATGAAGAGGTCGATGTGGTGTAAATTCGGTGCGTTGATGGTAGAATTGGAAGAATCTGAAAAAAAAAATACATGTTAGCAAAGCAGACATTATTATTGTTATAGACAGATACATACTGTATTATTATAGAGAGAAGTCCCTGACAAAGAGGTCGATGTGGTGTCTATTCGGTGCGTTGATGGTGGAATTGAAAGAATCTGAAAAAAGAATACATGTTAGCAATGCAGACATTGTTGTTATAGACAGATACATACTGTATTATTAGAGAGAGAAGTCCCTGACAAAGAGGTCGATGTTGTGTCTATTCAGTGCGTTGATGGTGGAATTGGAAGAATCTGAAAAAAAATACATGTTAGCAATGCAGACATTGTTGTTATAGACAGATACATACTGTATTATTAGAGAAAGAAGTCCCTGACAAAGAGGTCGATGTGGTGTCTATTCAGTGCGTTGATGGTGGAATTGGAAGAATCTGAAAAAAAAATACATGTTAGTGATGCAGACATTATTGTTGTTATAGACTGATACATACTGTATTATTAGAGAGAGAAGTCCCTGACAAAGGTCGATGTGGTGTCTATTCAGTGCGTTGATGGTGGAATTGGAAGAATCTGAAAAAAAATACATGTAAGCAATGCAGGCATTGTTATTGATATATAGAAAGATACATACTCAATTATTAGTAAAAGACAGATCCCTGATGAGGCATTCTGGGCAGTGCACAAAGCAAACATTCTGTGTATTGGACACAGTATCCAAGAGGTGGAGGCAAACATTCTAGGCATGAGACATGGCAACCAAGAGGGGGAAGCAAACATTCCGGGCATTGGACAAGGCAACAAAGACAAAGAGGCAAAGACCTTTGGATTCATATAGGGCTCATGACAAGGCAACCAAGACGGTAAGACAAACATTCTGGGCATTGGACAAGGTAACCAAGCGACATCAAACAAGGCAAACATTCTGGGTATTGGACAAGGCAACAAAGACAAAGAGGCAAAGACCTTTGGATTCATATAAGGCTCATGACAAGGCAACCAAGATGGTAAGACAAACATTCTGGGCATTGGACAAGGTAAGCAAGCGAGAGGAAGCAAACAATATAGGCACCAAACAAGGCAAACATTCTGGGTATTGGACACGGCAAACAAGAGGGGGAGTCAAACATTCTGGGCATTGTACAACGCAACAAAGACGGAGAGGCAACAACCTTAGGATTCAAATAGGGTAACCAAAACGGTAAGGCATTTGACAAGGTAACCAAGCAGGGGAGGCAAACATTCTGGGCAATCAAGCAATCTGGCAATTGGACACGGCAACCAAGAAGGAGAGGCAAATACACAGATTATTTATATAAATGAGTTTTGCAAAGATCTGAAAAAAAGAAACGTGTTAGTAATTCAAGCATTGTTACTTTTACATAGACAGACGCGTATTTGAAAATATAAATGTATACATACAAAGCAGAAAATAAATATATTCCGGCAACTCTGCCATAGCATGAATATTCTCTTCACAATTTAGATCATCATTTTCATTGTGTCATTGACAGGCTTTATGTAATAGCTGCAGCACTTGATACAATTAACCTGAAAATAAAAAGTAAAAATAATGTGTTGATTTAATGTGCTTTGTGTGTAATAAAATTGCGTTATTTTAAACGATTCACACAATTGAACTTCAGCTAATATATACTATCACTAGCATTGCCATTAAAATATAAAATATAAAAGAAAAAATAACCGTATGTCATCTTGTGAAATCACTATTCTCTAATTTGCGCCAAATGCGAATAGTCGTTTGTCGCCGGCGATGACGCTACTAGTTTTAGTGCCAATTCAAAATGTCATTGACAATTGTATATGACAAATTATAAATTCGAATCTGCAAAAGTCATTCTAACTTCAAAATGATATTCAAAATCTGTTCAATATTAAAAAAATAATAACATTGCACAATTTGCAATTTATTGCGCAATGTAACAATAATGTTTAAAAACTTGCACTGGTTTCAAACGTATTTATCGGTTGCAAATAGCAAGAATGCGCAGTGTTATGTTGCATTGCGTAATTTGAAATGTTAATAAAACTGGATCTTCGATGATTTAATTAACTAATAATAATAACTAAACAAGAATCACTAAGCTGTCGCACACTATTCAATTAACATACACAACAAAAATCACTATATCACTGCCTTGAAATATTAAAATACAATTACTTACCGAGAAATTTTCTGCTTCAGCATCTTTATCTTCTTTTTCGATGTTCACTCCATGACGGCCGGCAAGAGAAAGGACAGAATCCTTGTTTCCGCGCCAGTGGTGTGGCTGCAGCGCCATCTATCTGCGCGTTACATGAAACAGACTTTTGACAGTTAGTTCGTCGGTCAATGACAGCCGAGCGGTGGCGGCAAAATCAAACTGAATTTAACAAATGATTAAATTCAAAATGACCTGCAAATATATTTATCAGAATCTTCCAGTTTCGGGCTGAGAGTCAGCGTGTCAAACAAAACTTAATACTGAGGTCCATAAACTTTTTCAGAGAAAGAAATAGAAAATCGCTGCTAGTATAATAATAAAATTATTAATCAGTTAAAAATTATACGAAATTTTAGTATCCAAGTTTTATCTAGTTTTCACTTATGTAAATAAATTAAATTGTTCGAAAGGGAAATTAAAAGGTATTTAAATAAAAGTAAAAAAAGTCCCACAACATTTTTAGACAACCAACAACGTTTTCAAGCTGATTTAAAACATTTTCAGATAGCCTACAACTTTTTTGAACTATTTAGAACACTTTCAAGACGATTTAAAGCATTTTCAAACAATCTACAACATTTTTTAAGTATTTACAATATTTTCAAGACGATTTAAAACATTTTCAGATAACCTACAACATTTTTGAACTATTTACAACACTTTCAAGACAATTTAAAGCATTTTCAAACAACCTACAACATTTTTGAACTATTTACAATATTTTCAAGGCATTGACAACATTTTCTAGACGAAGAACAGTACAGATACAAATTAAATACAATTCAATTAAAATACGTGAGAGGTGTGATGAAGTAACAAAGTTTTATATCGGGTTGTAAATATTCTGTTATAATGTCGTTGAATATGAAATATTGAGAATTTGTCCTTTTTTTGTTAAATTCAAATATACCTCTCCTTGACGAATATATTTGTCAATACAAGTTAACTGATTGTACATGTTCTAGGCATTTCAATTTATCCATATTAGTAAAAAATAGATGAAATTTAGATTTATAATTACTAAACCATATTAAAAACATAGACTGCTATTCATGCTTTTTTTTTAAACACATTCTACTCAATTTGAAAATAATATAAAATTATTCGATTATAATAAATGATGTATTCTACAAATTTAATTGAAGTTGCATCCATGGACTACTATCCACGCATTATTTAAACTTTGGAAATGATCCTAATTTAGATGTTTATCCATAGAATAAATTTTGATTCTTATTACAGGTGCTTACAACCTGGGTCTCCTCTATAGTAGAAGGAAAATATAATCAACAACTAATTGGACAAAAGTCTTTTTGATGAAAAGGACAAAATCATCCTGTTGATGAGCTTTCAGGGCGTGTATCACTGCAAAACAACAAAAACTCTGGTTCCAACATCGTAATTTTAGCAAAAAAATGGATTTGTTTTCGCAATTTTCGAAAAATGTTTAGACTGATTTCGGAAGATTTTGGTACGCTGATCTCAAAAATTCTATCTGTTTTTGGATAAATCCACATACACCCGCGAAAAATCGAAATCTTTGGTTGCAAAATCGAGTTTTTTTTAAAAAAAAATCTACTTTTTTCGCGATTTTCAAAATGTTCTGATTGGTTTTGATTGATTTTGAATCGCTGAATTCGAAAATATTATCCGTTTTTGGATAAATCCACACACCGCTACGAAAAATCAAAATCATTGGTTGCAAATTCAAAATTTTACTAATGAAATGAACATTTTTTTCGCAATTTTCAAAATGTTATGACCGGTACTGCCCGTACGACCAACTTGACGTTTGAAAAATTGCCAACTTTGAAGCTGATTTTAGCTATGAAGCCGTCGATAAATTTGTAATTTTTTTGATTTTGGTATAAAGATTGTACTTGTTGTGCTTACTAGGAGCAGTGCTGGTGGCTCGCTCGCCGAAGAGAGTGGGGAGTGGGAGGTGGAGAGGTAAAAAAAAAACTCTCCTAAATCCTATACAGCGATTTCACTTTCCGGTTCAGCGTTGAAACTTTTTTATGTTCTTTAGTGTTCCCTCACACCAATTCCCAAAGCTAACACTCGAATGAAATGAAGTCCACTTTCGTATTTTTACAACGAGAAAAAATTACTGGGACTTAGTTAAAATTTTCTCGTTTAGAAATTTTCAATGTGGGTCTCATTCATTCGAATGTTGGCTTTGGAATGATATAGCATGCATAAATAACTCGTCTGTCTTAATCGAAAACGTTTCAAAAAATTTGGAATTATTTAATTAATCAATGAAATGAAATTATATTAATCGAATCAAAATTGTTTATATGACTTGATAAAACATGTGAAATCTTTACAATTAAACGAGACAAAAACAAATGTAGTTGACTTGAATAATATACAAATTATTGGAAAAAGCCATAAAAGAAATTCAATAAAACTTGTAAAATAAAATAATAAAAAATGTTCAAAAACTTGAACATTAAAAACTTCAAAAATGTTTAAAGCTGATTGTCATCCTTTAAAAATTGAGTTAAATAATTTTTACAACTTGAATCGAATAATATATTATTACAAGTTTATAAACTTGTAATAAACTTCAAAACTTTTATTGCATGTCCTGATCAAAATTGTTTTTAGCTGATAAAAATCTATAATTTAGCTATGCAGCGATATGATTGAATAAATTTAAAATAGAATTACGATTTTGGTGAATCATATTGAGTATTTTAAAAATTTTGATCAAAACCAATAATCGTGTTATCAGAAATAAGCATGTTCATGCAGTCAATACCGCTACAGGGAAAACACATGATTCTTGATACTAGAAATATCAATTACAAATACAAATATTTTTTCAAACAATTCTGAATTCCACACAAAATCTGCTCATAGTGTTATTTATAGAACAGAAGAATTTCTGGTGGAATATTATTATGGAATTGTGATAATATAAATTACTTTCAATGTCTTTGATACATAAGAACAATATAATTTTTTTTCTTTTATATATATTTAAAACAAGTGTAAAATAAATAAAACAAACTGAATCAACATGTTTTCCCCATAGCAAATTAAATAAGAACATAGTCTTTTACACATATGTCTGCCTAATTAATTCTTAAAATCTATTATTCGCATAATAGTTGTATTTGAATAAACAAAAAATAGATTGTATTACATGCATTGAAACAAGCAACAAAATAATAAAGTATGCCTTACTAATGATATTGACTCAAATATAATAATATAAATAATATTTTCAGCAGATATGTGTATATAACTATATATGTGTATATTAATAATGCTCGAGCCAGAAAGTATTTCACTAAAATATATACAGGCTGCTTTATAAATGACATCGGATAAGAAAGGGACAAGTTCTCAAAGCACCTTCCAATTAATTTCTTTTAATATGAAAAACAAGCATAAAATACATAATTAATAAGAAATATTATTATTACAAACATAAAAAGTAGCAAGTAATACAAACTCGGTCATTAATTGTTAACCTCTTCCAGAAAATAAATTATGAGTAATATCTTTTTATTTATATCTATTCAAATTATAATTTCACTGAAGATGACAAACAATATTTTGTCAAACAGTAAAGATTTTCATTATTCTTTGATATGTATTTGGTGAAACTGCTTCAAAGTCTTTCCTAAATCTAAAATTTAAAAATAACTTCACACACATATACACATACATACAAATATTTAGAACAATGAAAGTGCATTAGATGTAGAACAATAAATGCCTGTATATAATATCAGAAATATATTCTTTGACTCACTTCATATAAAACATGCTTTGCACTCACATTGTTAAAAATCCTTTGCAGCAGCTCTCAGAACACAAAACCAATACAGGAACCACCTCCGGAGCATCTGCCAGAAATCTCAAGTACTCGACACAAAATCACTATGTTAGAACCACTGCATACCTTTGACTTTTACATGTCTATTCGACATTTTGCAATTGTCCCGACTTATATGAAAGACTTTTGTGAACTTGAAATGCAACTTGAATGGATATGGAGTGAAACGCTCAAGTATAATCTACAACAACATGCACATATAAATTATACATCTCAATATTGCATATATATATATATATATATATATAAATAAAGGATACAGGGGCTGTAAATAAAATGTTTCATTAAAAAAATGATTCAAAATGGGGGCCCTAAAAGAGATAATCATGACAAATCAAAGTACTCCTGAGCACTTCCACACATATCAATTATTTTAGCTTTTTATGAACGTTTTACGATGAATTTTTTTAAAACAGGTTGTTCTACAAAATTCATTAAACACTTTGATGCACAAATTCATTAAATCTAATCAAGAATTTAATTAAAAACTCTTAATTAACGCGACCGCATGCTTATTCACAATTTTTTTTTGACATTTGAAGAGAATGAATTTAGCAAAATGACCACCGCCAGCACTTGCACTATTCAAAGCGCCAAATTCAAACAGAACATTTAAAATTTGCAAAATTCATTCATTCATAAAAATATGTTCAAAATGAATAAATTTGCTTAAAAATATAAAATTTTTTAGTTAAAACTGTTTTATGAAATTATTTTAGCTTATAAGTGTTTGATTTAGATTATTATTATATTTAAAACAAACTGAAAATAATATTATAAATGATAAACCATAAAATTTATGATTAGGCATCTGTCGTGGTCGAGATGGTTAGGTCGTAGGATCTGTTGTAAAAGGAAGCTCGAAAGGCAGTTCGAATCCGCAAAACAACATGTTTGTTTAAGAAAAATGAGGCAAATTCCTTTTCGAAAATATCTAATTTTTCGGGTTCTTCATTGTGTTTAGCTCTTGTTACTGTACATTTTGTTCAAACTGAAAACTATGTTACCAATCTATGAACATTTAGGTTTTACTCTATGTTTAATTTTTTCGTAAATATTAATAAAATAAATAAACAGCAGAACAGGTGAGCTGTGCCTTGGTTGAACAAGTGTCTTTAATAGTAAAAAAAAATTATATTATAAATGTTAGATATGTTACTTATAAATATCAAACATGTTACAATAACAATTGTTATAAATATTATTATTAACATTAACACTGTGCCAAATTCAATTAATAGCCTATCAACGATGGCATGGTCGAGATCATTAAATTGCTTCAATGTCCGGTGTTGGGTTTCGAGTTCGAATCCCCAAGCAATTCGTTAAAACAGTAATTTTATTAGATCCATAAAACCTGTTTGGACAAAAGTCTTTCCCAAAAAAGTTTCTTAATCATCGAACAGCCGAGATTGTAAGGAGACCAACACGGTCAACCACGAGTCGATGTTCTGATATTCCTCGCATCAATTCCTGAAAGCGCACGCAATTTTTCTTCCAAAATTACTTTTAAAACTAAATTAAGGTGCCGGTGCCGCTATTCGACCTTGATACAATTTCGTAAAAAAAACTACACTTGATTGTAATAAATATAAATAGAAAGGCTGTGGGTTGAAGGTAAGAGACGTATGTACCCCAGTAAATACATCTGAGCTGGAGATGTTTTTAATGCAAGGCCACGTTCACAACGTGCGATTAATATGAGCTGTATATGAGTCGGATTAGATTTACATGAATTTTCCATATTGCTAAATGTGGGATGAATATGAGCTATATATTAGACGCTGATTATATGTTTTACATATGATTTTTCCATATTGCTGAATGTGGGTGATATATGAGACACTGAATATGAGTTTTACATAGTTTATTCATATTACTGAATATAGGCTGTATATGAGAGCAATATAGGGGACTTGTATATTATTTAATTTTATTATATACACGACCATGCGCTTCGCAGGCATAGTATTATCCACCATTCACGGATTAAATGATCTGATTAAAATTAAATATTTTTTCAATTTCTTCAGGACTAACTTAATTATTTTATTCAGATGAATTTCATTGTCCCCTACTCACAATAATAAAAAAATTCAACATATGTATACAAAATATGTAAAAATATATAAAATTTCAAACTATTTTCTTTTCGATTCCCTTTTACGCGGTTTGAAAAACTGTGCAAAAATAGGTTTTACTGTATTTAATAATTATAATTTCTATATTTGAATATAGCCATGTTTCATAGCTATAGCATTCCCAATTCTCATTTTACCCTATTGTGAATGTATGAAGCAGGGGCGGTGTAACCTGGTCATAATATTTTGTAATGGATGATTGAAATAATTCTGTATATTGATTTCATAAAACAATTTATATTTCCTCGATACTCATCAAAATTTCTATTATTCAATAATTCTATTATTGATAGTAGAAATTAATAACATAATTTAGATAACTAATTAATTTCACTAATCAATAAAATACTATTAATTGACATTGATAAATAATTAAATATTAAATATAATGTTATGAATTAGGAAACTATATTATATTACTGTATAAAGCCGATTGGCGTATAAATAAATAAATAAATAAATATATTATTTATGTAAATTGGTCTAACTATTGAGTCGTTCATTATATAATAATATATCATCATCTAGTAATCTTATAATCGGGAATACATCACAAATTTCAGAATCTCGAAGAATATTGATAGTCTTCAAACATACTTGCAAAATATGTTCATCTGTCTGCTCGTTTAAAATGCGTGAAAGTAAACTAACGAGATCTTCCAGAAACTGAAATAGTATTAATTTGAATATATTTGTTATGTAATAAATTAGAGTTTTTCATTAAAAGAAAAATCAACCTTTGTTTATATTATTTGTTTGCTGAAAGAAGACACTTATCAAGTATCAGAACGTTTAAATAAAGAATCATCAACATTAAAAGCCCAGTCAAAATAAACAGTCTTAACTACAAATAATACTACAGATGCTGATTATCTCATTATAAATAAAATATTAAAAGTCCTACTCGATCCGACATCTGCGATTTTTTTCATTCAAGATTGAAGGTACAAAATTCAGATTATCCCAATTTTCCGCGAAAACCACGAAAAATATGAAAAAAAAGTTAGGAAAATTTGTTTATTATAAAATTCTGTACAAAACTGTTGTTATACTTTTTAATTTCCCGTAGGGTATTTATATAGTAATGGCCCATTACTATGCATTACTAATGGGCCGAAAATCGAAAATGAATTTTTTGCATTTCTCGACGTTTTGAAGGTTTCTGAACATTTTGGCATACCTCAGAAAAAATTGATGTGTGTGTGTGTTTTGTGTGTTCGCATTTTTTCGTTCACGTTTTCGGGCGCACAGATAAACCGATTTGAATGGTTTAAAAAACATTCGATTCCTATTTATAGGGTGATGTTTTGGCAAAGTCAGGTCCAGCCGTCACGGAGATAAATAGCAAAGAGTGCAAAAAATAGAAATCGAGTTTTTGAAAGAACAAATATTAGACAAATGTTACAGCATTTATATAATCTATTTGAAAATAATTAATATTCCTCGAACATTTCGTTACGGTACGGGAAGTTACAGCAATTTGCCTTGAGGCACGATGCCATACACCACTAGTTTCCGTTAGAATCATATTTTCTGAGATATTGTCTTTTGAGAAGTAGAAAAATTCATATACTTCATAATATACCAATGCAAATATAAATAAATACACCTATCCCCCGTTTTACCCAAAAACCGTGTAACTCAAAAACCTCACTTTTTATGGAAAAACCGCGCTAAACGAAAATGACCTTTGTGTCAGTTATTAATATTAGGAATAACAAATACATTAAACAAAAAATAAATATAAACATATTTAATAATTTATACGAAAATTAATTTATTTCAATAATAAAACCATAGATAAAAAATTAAAATTGGTTTAAAATTCTTTTACTTCATAGTTTTTTATTTTACCTTTTTCCATTGAAACAATATTATTTTTTATAAATTGAAGATTATGCAAAATTCTTTAATTTCCTCATATTGATTAAATTTATCTATCTATCTATATATCATTTATATAAAAACAATTATGCTCTTTGTTTTGATATTTCAAACAAACGAGCATATATACATACAAAATTTAGTTTGGATCATAAAACATTCCCATCTCATCTACATATTTTCATCATAGATTACTAAGAATTCGTAACTGTAACATATATTTTGTAATGTTTTTTGACAGTAAAACAATTAAAATGTTATTGTAGATATAAACAAATTATAGTTCAGTGTTTGTAGTTTCGTGTAAATGCTAAATTAATAAACTCTTATAATTTTTTTTTTTGTCAAAAACTGAACTAAAACCAGAATCTTTCAACCTCGAATTTTTGTAACTTTAACCTCGAATGAAAAAAAATCGCAGATGTCGGATTGATCGAAAACTCGACTTTTTTAGATTTATTTGGACTGGGCTATAATACATTTTTTAGTATTGGCTGCTGTTTATATCAAATATGTCTGAATGTTGGAAAAACATTCAAGATATATATCAAGATTCTTTCATGGTCATTGAATTATATTAAATGCAAATTAAATGTGCAAATTTTTAGAAACAAAATATTAAATACTCACAGACACATTATTTTTATATAGCATATAATTGAAATATTGAGGTATTTCCAAAACCATCATTACACATTTTGAATTAACCTGAAACATTCTTTCGATAATGGGACAAATAATGTCATACAATGTTTCAGTTACCAAGTCCATCTTTAGTCGAATTTCGAGCAAATCAAGTTCAGTGAATTCCTGTGAATATGTGCTTCTTATTAGAAATATCAATATATGCATATAAAAGGTTATGGATGAAAAACAATAAAAATCCTTTTTTTCATTAATGTTTAACTTCGCCGTCTAATTTAAAATAAAAATTGATGATTCATTTCAACACAATGACATTTATATAAATTATATAATTATATAACAATATGTTTCAACATCAAGAGGCCTGATATATGCCTACCTTCATCTTCAAGGTATGTCTCAGACACTGTCCAGTAGAAGCTTCTCGTATATATTGAAGATGTATTTCCAATAATGTTTCGATTAGCGTTATCTTTGCCTGAATAAAATTGGGAATAAACTCGATATTAATCAATTAACAAGATTAAATAAAAGCTATAAATAATTCATAACTAATTCGATCAATATTCGAACAAGTAAATTAAAACTCCCCAAAAAAAATTAACTTATTCAAATTAACTATTCAATTAAATTAACTATTCAAATTAAAAATTATAAAAATTTAATTTGTTTATATATAGTTAGGATTTTTTTCTTATTTTATTTTCAGGATGAAAATTTTTAATGAACAGAAAATTTCATATCATTTTGACGTTACAAGCAAACTTGAAAAGGAAAACACGGCTGAGACGGAAGAAAGTAGTTAGGCGAAAAAAAAAAAAAAACAACAGGAAAACTCAGTATTATGTGATTCGTAATTTATTTTTAAAATCATAGTTAAAAGATGCCTTTATATGCGTATGAATTTTTGTATCAATAGATTGAATAAGTTTTCTCATTTTTTTTTTTAAATCCCACTGGTATTTAAATACCACTGGAAATTTGAATAGAAAGTAATAACATTCAGCTAATAAAGTTTTAAAAATACATTTTAGGCACATAACTATGAAGTATTCAAGCAAAATACTATAAAAAAGCAAATAGTAACCTGTTCAGAAAACTCCACATTCAACATTTCAACTGCCTCTCTCGAAATAAAATCTCTGATGTCATAAGAATAATTTAGCATTTCTATTAATAAATCCACCATTTTTCTGTAATCCTTAGTTGAAATTTCACTCCAAATAGCATCCACAAACAAATCAGTGTCCCTGTCTACATTCTTAAAAATATATAATATAACTATAAAAGCCTATATATAAAACCGCTGAAATTGATTTGTTTTGAAATAAATGTTTAACAAGGTATATAACTTTTTAGACACATAATAGTGATAATGATAATGCCAAGTCATAAGTAAGTAATTATAATTTGCAACAAAGCACTATTTGACAGTAGTCACTAATATATATATATATATATATATATATATATATATATATATATATATTTAAATATGTAGACATCAGGACTTTTGATTAAAACATTGCCATAAAATTTTGCACTTATCTGCTAATTGTGAAAAACCGTATAAGCCGATCGTCGTAAAAAATTAATTAACTCGAATTCTATATGATGGTTAAATATGGACAAATTTTGCTTACATCACCAAAGCACTGATCATTTTTTCAACCTTTGATAAAGTTTTAAAATCAAACCACTTATCATAGACCCGTAATATTTAAATAACAAAAAGATAGAATTAAGTTAAATTGTAAAAATAAAACAGAAATCAATATTTACCTTATGTTCCAATAAAAATAAAATTAGATACTGAATATAAAAAATATCATATTCCTGTGTTATATAAAACCAAAACAAAGAACCTGCGGCTCTTGCAACTTTTTGATGCAAATGAAAAACTAACTTAAAAACTGATTGCAATTGTTTTTGTGAAAAACTATCAGGAAACATCCTAAAATTAAAAGTTTAAAACAGTCATTGAAATAAATCATTTAAAAATACATTATTTATTTTAAACATTTTTATTAATAGTTAATAAAAACTTTGAATAAAATTTAACATGTGATTTCCAATAAATTATTTAACAAACAAGCTAGTTTTATAACATTTAGTATTGGAGCACACAAATTCAAGAATTTAAGTTTTTTAGTTAACTATTATGGCATCAAAAAATGTTTCACTTGTTTAATTAATTTTAACATTTTAGTGCTAGTTTAATTTTGAAAATTTTGTGTTGAATTTCAATTTGTGGATGAACTGCGGACATAACATTTATTTTAAATTTATATTTTTTGTAATATATCTTCAAAGTTTGTTACTATCGCTAATTATTATTATTTTGTTATCATATAACATGTAACTTTATATTTATAGCAAGAATAAATAGTTTTTAGTTAAAAACAAAAAAATACTTACGCATAAGACAGTTTTGTTATTTCAATCCCGTAAGATCGAATATTCGAACCTCTTCGAAAGCATAATCTAATAATTTTATCCGCTTTGTCTTTAGTAAATTTTTTAAGTTCAGTTTCTTGTGCATTTTGTGATTTTGAACATAATTGATATATATGTTTTAACAAAATCAATGCAGTGGCTCTAACATTTTTGTCACGAGCATACGTTGTTCGAAGAATGAACTTCAAATTAGACACTTTGCAATAAGTTAGACTGAAACAAGATTTAAACAAACATGAAAAAATAGTTTTATATAATTTATATAACAATAACTATAAATAAATACAGAATCAAATTAGTCCTATATAATTGTAGCATAAGAAAAATTTGCAGAATATTTAATTCTTGATTAAAATGAAAATTGTTTAAATTGAAATATTAAATCTACATAAATGAGTGATATGAAACTTTAAACCAAACTGAATTATATTTACACTACGATTTATTTAAAATTATAAGATTGAAAATATAAAACAAATATTTCAAAAATATTATTAAACTAGTATTATTAAGATTTTATTTTTAAAATTGCTGATTACATTGAATAACTTGCAGTTTTATAAATTTTAAAATATAATGAAAAATACAGGAAAACACAAAGTTAACAGAATCAGCTAGTTAACGAAATCAAAACTATTAATATGTAGATAAATATTATTATATGTATACTGTCTATTTTTGAAAGGTTCATATATATATATATATATATATATATGTACATTGGACATATATAAATACATTGTATATATGTATATATATATATATATATATAAATTTATGACTAAATAAGGTTGTTGTTAAGGTCTGATCGTGACACCAAAAAGTTTATATGAATTCCAAGTGTTATAATCTACGAACGCAATATAGTGGTAAATTGCAATTTAATACTTGAGATTATTGGTATAAACAATTATTCTATTATTAAATAATTACAAAACTTAATTTCAAATATATAATTATATAATTTATACTTTATTAGGAAAAAGAGTAAAAAACAGACTTTAAAACAAATTAAATAAAATATACAAATAACAACAAATTAAATATACAATTAGTTATAAACTTGTTTTTATCTTTGCAATAAATTTAGTGTACCACTTCATAAATGTTGTATGAACAGAAACGCTGATACATTAAAATTACAGAAATTTTTCCACTAACATCAAGAACTATAATAATGGAAAACATACCTAAATTTATCATAGATAAACCACCTTTTTATAGACAAGATATATAGTTTCAGAATATCCTTTGTTTCTATAGATTTCATATTGGGCTTGATAATAATTTCATAGATTTTGTTCATTCGCAGTCCTAATGTTTCTAATTCTGATGTTTCCATGTTCAGCAAATTATATCTTATCCTAGTCATTGGTGTATATATTGATAGGGCTACAGAAATATGATATGCATTTTATCAATAAAATATAAATTTTATCAAATTTAAAAAATGTTAACAACCTGTTATAACAGACAAAATTCGATGATTTTTGATGAAAGATTTGGACAACAGATCTAGAAAATAAATCATAATTTCCATAAAAAAAGAATCTAATATAACGTGGTCTCGTCCAATGATTACTATCTTTTTCAACATATTGCAATATTTTTCTTTGAATAATCCTCTTTTTGCATCTCCCAATAAATAAGGTTGATCCTTGAATTTGTAAAGAAGATGTAAATACTAATGCCTATATAAATACTTATAATATTTGCATTGGATCACACATTATTTTCATGGCTTTATATTAAAATCGCAATTAAACTAAATCAAATTAGTTTACTTTCTTTCAAAAATTTAAATGCCTCAATCATTTGTAATATAAGTTTTTACAAAAAATATCATACATTTTTATATAAACGTTCCAAATCATTAATGGTACTACTCAAATGCCTCTGTATAAATGTTTCATCTTCAGGTATTTGTATTTTGTAATCATATCCTAAAGCAGAAACAAAAACTTGAAATAATGCAGCAGTTGCACTATATTTACTCTCAAGATACCAATGGATCCAATGAACAGCTATTGTCTGCAAAAAAACTATTGATTAATTAATAAAACAAAAATATGCTTTGCATATTACTATAGTTCCAGAAGTTAATGAATATAAATGAGTTGTGGCATATTAGAGTATGATCGGGTAATCCATGGTGTAATGGTCAAGCTCTCAGACTCAGCGATGCCCATTTTCACAAGAAAATATAGATCAAAGATATGTTTCAAATTGAAAATTGCCCATTTCGGGCACTGCGGTGTAAAACGACAATGGCATATCTCTCACATTATTTTTCCCTGATTTGAGTTGGTGTTTGAATCAGCTCAGGGCAGTACTACCCATTATTAAAGGTTCGTCTATTATTCCAATAATTAATTTTAAAAATATTATATTTGTTAACCTGCAAACACAAAACTTTATACTTAATAGTAATATCACATACCCTTTCTATAGCTCTCTCATTTTTCAATAGTATAAACACAGCAAGCTGATTGTCATCGATATGTAAATGATCTGAAATATAATACAAAATTAGAATCTTTTGCTGCATTCAAACAGTAATGAAAAGATATATATATATATATATATATATATATATATATATATATATATATTAGAAATGAGCTTATATCCAAAGCCGGATCGGTTAGGATTTGACTCCGTTTCGGTGATGAGTTATATCCACTTAACAACTCCACAACTCCGACAACTTTGAAACATAATACTTGACACAAATGTGTTCTCTAGTGTGTTATTAACATATCTAAGGATTTATTACGACTTTGGAAATAGTTTACAAATAGTTCAAACATTTTTGTTTATTATAATAATTACTATTTTATGCATTTCAACATGCATACAAATCTCAAATTGACAAAAAACTATGGAATTAAAATCAATTTTGTAATTATATTTGAATATGTTTATTTTTACATGAAAATAATGCAGTGAACCTTATATATGAAATAACAACAAATCTTTGTGTACAATATTTTTCAGAAAATAATAATACCTCACATTCTTTTATTATTTCCTTTTTGAGAATTAATTATATATCAGGTAGTTAGATGAACATAGTATTACTTTTACACAATTATAAAATAATTGCGTAAAAGTTATAATATAATACTAAATATTTTTTAGCTGGTTGTATACCATTGAAAAATCTTATTTACGGGCAAACATTATCGTATACAGAATATAGAATACAAAATAGCATTGTTTTGAAACATTATATACCTGGAAAGTCTTAAAACTGGCTGTGAAACGAGAAAAAGACTACTTTTTTCGAGCCAAATCTTTGTATTAGTAAAAAATCTCAAGCAAATATCTGCACATGTTAACAGATTTAGTATAAGTTTAGGGAAGTCGGATATGACAAATCTTGTGAGACAACTCCACTCGGATTCACCCTGAGAGAGAAGTTGTATCGGAGTGGCAACTCCGGAGTGAGTTATTCATTTCTAATATATATATATATATATATATATATATATATATATATATATATATATGAAATTATATATTACCAACACTTCGTCTAGTATTTGGAAAATCCTCACTTGAATTTGTAGAATCATCTGCAAACATTTGTTGAATTTGTATTTTAATTTCAAACAAAAAGCATGTGAAAATATTTTATCAATAAAATAAAATATTTGGACTCGCATGAAGTAAACAATGAAATAATACAACATTGTAAATGCTTCACATTTGCACATTTATTGGAAAAAATATGTTTTGATGTGACACTTCAGAATTTGAATTAAAAATCTGGTATCAATATAACACAAAATTTAAAATTTTAAAAAATTTAAAAAATATATTTGCAATTATTAACTTCCCGTAGGGTAAGTTATTGTAATGGGCCGAAAATCGGAATTGAAAATTTTTACATTTCTCGACGTTTTGAAGGTTTCTGAACATTTTGGCATACCTCAGAAAAAATGGATGTGTGTGTGTGTGTGTGTGTGTGTATGTGTGTGTGTGTGTGTGTATGTATGTGTGGATACAAATTTCCAGTCACGTTTTAGGGCGCACGGATCAACCGATTTGAATGGTTCAAAAAACATTCGATTCCTATTGATAGGGAAAAGAGCTGATTAGTTTTTGGCAAAGGCAGGTCCAGCCGTTTCGGAGATGCGGAGCAAAGAGTGCGGAAATTAGAAATCGAATTTTTGAGAGAACGGAGTATCCGATTTGAATGATCTAAAAAACATTCAATTAGTAATGATTGGGAGAAGTGTTTATTAGTTTTTGGCAAAGGCAGGCCCAGCCATTTCAAAGATACGGAGCTAAATATGTAAAAAATGGCAGTTTTTGAGAGAACTAAGCGTCCGATTTGAATGATTCAAAAAACTTTCTGCTTGTCTTAACAAAATAATTGATTTTGGAAAAAAAAATTTTGTTCGATTTTTTTTTTTTTTTTTTTAGTTTTTTGTTGAAACAAATAATTTCAACTTTGCAATTCAGTTTATATAATTCTTATAAGTATTAGACAATGTTACAATATTTATAATAATCTATTTGAAAACATTCAGTATTCCTCGAACATTTCGTTACGGTACGGGAAGTTCCAGCAATTTGCCTTAAGGCACGATGCCACCCACCCCACTAGTTTAATTTTTAAATGACGTTTTCATTAACATAGTTTGAGATAATAAAAATGTAGCACTCACCCATGTTCTAATAAGTAGAATATATTTAAATTTATAGATATGAGAGTAACATTAAGCATAAATTCAAGTTTTTATAGCACTTTACAATTTGAGCATTGTAAAGGGCAATAAAAAGTAATTTTCACTCATAACATTTAATTATTGAGCTAACTATTGTGTCGAATTTACCCTTAAACCTTAAATTATTGTTACAACCCGTTACAACACTACTAAAATGCTATTATAATATTGTCTAGGAATGTGAAATTTAACATTAACTTGTGGATTTCACCATAACCTCAAATCTTTGACATTTGGCGTTCTTAAAAAAACGCGCAAAATTTAAAATATAAGTAGTAAATTGTGTTCTAAAAGTAGATTTATAACACAAAATTGTACTTGGAATATTTGATCAAATTTGATTAGGTTAGTATAGTCTAAAGTAAAATAATAAAAGTAGAATAATTTCAGAAAAGCTAAGCTAAAATAATGATTAAACATTTTTTAATGAATTTTTTACTTATATTTTAACATTTAGAAGAAATACATGAAAATGGCAAATAAATGAATATATTTAATAATATTGAAACCAGAATTAATCGTTTTACTCATCTTTGGTTCGTTGACCCCCAGTAACACAGCCTTTTAATTAAGTAAGAACTAAAATAACATAATAGTTATTAACGTAAAATGCAACTGTGCACATAGTTCAGACAAAATGACATGTAATACTAATAATAAATGGTAGTTTGCCCGAAGGCAGGTCCACTTACCATTACCACTATTTTCGTCCCCCCTATTTTTCATGTATTTTCGTTTTCGAACTTCTGTTTCCATGCATCTTGATCCTGAGTCCTATTTTATCCTCGACGACGCCGTGCAGGAGGTTTTCTTTTAGCTGAAGGGGTTCGTTCCAGTTTCCTTATCTTTTCAGGTTTATGCTTAGTAGAGTCCTTCCTTTGCCCACTCTTCTCAGGACTTCTTCATTTGTTGTCTGTCCACTTTATCTTCTTCATCCGCCTCCAGTAGCACATTTCAAAACTTTCCATGTAGTTCTTGTCGGCCTTTCTTAGAGTCCATGTCTCCGATCCGTACAAAGCTATGCTCCATACGTAGCACTTTATTAGTCTCTTCCGCAAGTCAAGACTCAGTTTGCTCGTTAACAGCATTTGCTTCTTGTTCTGATATCTCTCATGCAGTATCCGTCTCTGGTCAGAATGCTTCCTAGATATATGAAATGATTCACTTCTGCCAATCTTCGATTTCTTACCGTTATCCTCAGAGGCTCATCTCTTTTTGTGATTCTCATCACTTTCGACTTGTCGATGTTGATTTCCATTACGTATCTTAAAATGGCATATAGGGTAAGGAGATACTGTAATACTTATTTTCAAGAACGTATTTCACAAGTTACAGTTATGATAGATTGGTCCTCTTTGGGACATCAGCACATGATCCATAAGTCCAAAGGAACAACCAACCATCTGATTATTGCAATAATATTGATCAAAATCACTAGTGTTGGCATAAATTAATTGATTTCAATAGAAATAATTACAAATAACAATAAGTAAAGACCCCAAAATCCATGAGAAAAACCTCAAAATAAATTTTTGATGTATATTAACACTGATTACTCACGCAGGACTGTGATAATGACGTACAACATCTGTTGTAAGAATTAAAATAGAACAACTATAAGATTGCTAGATGTAAGAGAAATTTTGCCTTAAGGCTAGTTAATCGATTTAAATTGAAATTGGGAATAAGCTATTTAGATTGAATTTCCAAATGTTTATTTCAAAAATAACCTTTTTGCTAAATTGTGATTAATAAAATTTTCATTTAAGTTTCAAGAATATATAATTGTGATTATATTAATAATTGTGCACAAACATGTGCTCCTAAAACTAAGTCCGTTATTATCAATTAAATGAGTTTATATAGTTCAACCAATTTTTATAGGCCTTTAATATTGCATGGGGTTTGTTTGATACCTGAATTCTGTCTATATGTTAGATATCATTAAAACCACTGAACAAAATTAATTTTTTACAATTTAATTATAAAGAAACAGCCGATTCTAATCAGCGCGATTCACAAGTGATATCTTTCGAACAATTCTTAACTTCCTGTAAGGTAAGTTATAGTAATCGCAAAAAAATCTATAATGAAAATTTTCATATATATTTACGTTTCAAAAATTTTGGCATACTTTAGAAAAAATTGATGTATTTATGTGTGTATATATGCAGGGCCGGATTTAGAAATTTGGCGCCCTGGGGCACTGACAAAAATGCCGCCTCATCCCTGAAATTCCATTCCAGTTTCTATATATTTATCCCGTACCAAAAATTAAAATTAAAAAAAAATTTTTTTTTGAAAACTTAAAAAAAAATCAATTTTTGAAATGTTTAGTATTTTTTATATTTTGAAATTTTTGGCAGCGCGATTGCTTTGAAAAAACTTTATAATTTCCATAAAATTTCAATATATTAGATATAAAAAAAAGTTTTTTAAAGGGCATTTTTTCATTTTTCTAAAAATTTTAAAGTTCTTTATAAAATGTAATTTTTAGTACGAAAAGTTCCAGTAATATGCAGTAATTAATGGAACAATGCCATGCGTCACTAGTTTAATTTTTTTTCGGCGCTTTGAAGTGCACAAATTTGTCGTCTTAAGAGGGCTCGAGATCTGAAGAACATATTTTGCTTAAACTTTTAGCTCGTTTATGAAACTTTATATTAGCCAAATTGTCAAATTTGATAATAAGGTATTAACTAATTTAATGATTTACGTTCGGAGAGAGAAGCAAAGCAAAATAATAAATTTTAATAATCGGCTATTTGAATCCAAATTTTGCATTGCAATCGTATTGTGTTTTATATAAATTAACAAAAGTTAATTATATTTCTTGAAATAAAGTGTTATTAAAAAAAATTAATTAATTACATTGTATAGCATTTTTTTCTCACTATCCATATTTTGTCGCCTCCAAAAATTTGCCAAAATGTTCGAGAACACGAATTAACCGATTGGAAAAACTCCCGACTTCTTCCGTATTTGAGAGAACGGAGCATCCGATTTTAATAATCTGAAAAAATAGTTTCTTGAATTGACAAAATGAAGAACTGTAATTTTTCTGTGATTAACAAATATACTCGTCTTGAGCTCGATTTGGACGACACAAAACTGTAGACACTGTTCGACTTGAGCGACACTGTCAACATTAGTAAAGGGAAGAGTAAACTATGGAATTAAACAAGATAAAAGAAATCTTGAATGCAATTTTGAATTAATATCGCACAATGATCATATATTATAATATATATTCATATGATTTGTTCGTTTATTGTATCTCGTAGACATTGATGAGTGTGGATGCTGTTGAACCTGCGCTCTGAAAGCGCAACCACAAAGATTTCAAACAGCGAGTGGTTCAGTCGAAGCTTGGCTGCCGTAGCCAACGATCCGTAGCAGCGTAGGCAAACGTAGGCCGAGCTTACGGTTAACGGCGTGCTCGTAAAATTAACTTAATCGGTTAAATAATTATAACAAAATTAATAAAACCACATTAATGCATGTTAAACTCTGATACTTAGCTTCTACAATTATTTTATCCCCTATATCACAAAGTTACTATCCTATAGGACATTCAAACTTTGAAAAAAACAATTCATTTGTATTTTGTTCTTATTAATTATAAACAAAATTAAATTTATTTAAAAATGTAACATAATGAAATATAATGCATTTTAAAAGTGCACGTGGTTTTGTTACAAATCTGGCAAGTGTTTGTGCTGCATTACAAATTGCAAATAAAATATAATGTCTATTAAATAACTAAATGACCAACGGTAAAAATTCAAACTATCGATACCACTACTCTATATCTATAAGTTTGTAATTTGTAATAGATTTTGATATATACTAAGTATATATACGTGTAAAGTGAAGCATGTGGTTCATAACTAAATTTTTCTGAAAAATATTTTTTTAACCAAACTTGACTATACTACTTCGGACAATAAACATTTCATCCCTTTTCAAGAATTAATTTTGTATGTAATTGTAGAATTAATAGTAGCTTGAAAATAATAATAACATATGTGTTCGGTGTCATTCTTAGAAAATAAATAGTATATAATAATATATTTTATGAATTAAAATTAATACAATGACTACGCTAAGTACTCACAGTGAAGAATATTTTTACATCAATTACTATAAAATTTATTGTGTGTGTGATTGTGTTTAATATATAGTGGCAAGTTTATGAAACAATTATTGATAAAGAGTTGTTAGTTATAATAATGGTGTTTCATGTACCTAGTAAATTCAATTTAATTGTAATACGCTAGGAATATATCAAAAAATATTTTATTAGAAAGTGAATTAGTCAGTGTAATAATTAAGTATTTAAATAGTTTATGCGATAGCTATGAAAACACTTGAATTAATTTGAAGTTTAAAGGTGAGTTTGAGTTATTAAATGTATAATATTTTTTATACATCATGTATTATTTTACAGAGCTATCATTTAATGTGATTTGTTTCCTTATTTATATATTGTTTTTATATATATGAATAAATTTATGGTTGTTATCATTATAGTTTGTTTATATTGATATAATACGAGTCCAATTGATCCATAATTATTTTATTTCAATATAATATTCAAAATCGCACCGATCATTTATAGTGTAGATGTTATAATCATGGAAGCACTTACTCAATAAAATCGAAGCAATAGAAGCGTATTTGTAAAAGTGAAATATAAATGCAGGAAAACACCTTTTTATAGCCTTTTATAATTAATAAAATTATAGTTTATTCATCACTAAAAATATTCAATTCTACAAAATTACTAAAAGATGTCAAAAACTTATATATTTATAATGACCTCAAGCTTGTATTCAAAATAAAATGAATGAAAAAATTAATATTTCTAATATCTCACTAATAATTTTTTAGATACAATTTGTGAACTATTGTTATTGTTATTAAAAGTTAAGAATACGTAGAATATAAAAATAATCGAGTGTTTAAACAAAAACAAAATTTTTTAAATAATTTTAATATTTCAATAAAAATATCATTGAAATGCTCATTACAAAGTAAATTTTAAGCTAAATTTCAGATAAGAAAGTTTAATTTTGGCAATAGTTAAAACCATACAAACTTAATTTTTCATTATAGGATTTTATCTA